CAGAACTTGCTCATTTCACGTTGTTGGTTTGCAAAGCACGATTACTACATTTATTGCGATTATTATTTATAACGCACGTGCATTACCACTGTTCTACGCATTGAACCTTTTCTTTTTGTTGATGTTTGTTCTCGTTGCCGTTGCCATCGTGGCTTACTTGTGCTCCCTGGTTTGTGACCATTTAAAAGAAAACGGCCGAGCTGCATTTTAAGGTGGCACTATTTAGTATTATGTAGAAGGTGGTTCTGGTCTTGGATCAAACCCTAATTTGTCATCACTCAAATGAAAGCTAACGAGTAGCACATTATGGGTTGCCCGGAACAATCTTTATTTTTGTCTAAATTCTGTTTAAACTGACATGATCTTATATGGTTTTCTTCTCAGCCATGGAAAATTTTACAGATGACCAAACAAAGAAGCCTCGCAAAAGACAAATGTCCAGAGCAAAGAGAGTCCTAGCAAACCGACGGGAGAGAGAACGGGTTCGAAAGATGAATGACGCCTTCGAAGAGCTACGAAGCGCGATCCCGAATTACGAGGAAACCCGAGTGAAAACGAAGCTAGAATTGCTGCGGATTGCCACAAACTACATCCAGAGCCTCAAAGATCACATCCAGAATTCAGTTCATGTACACGAAGGCTATAACTCTTCAATGAATCCCTTGATGTACCCATCAGCCTTTGAAATGGAAAATGGCGGCCCTCCCAGGTCGGCGCCACGGATGTCTGACTATCCATTTCCACCTCAGTTTCCAGTCCCTCCTCCGCCACCAGCCTTCACCGAGCTGAGTAATCTCCAGTTTTCTCAACAGCAAACGATTCCCGCACCAGTGTCAAATGGCAGCGCCCCTGATAGCTCCAATCACGATTTTTGCAATCTTTTAACGTCCAGCCTGGCTGACTCCCACGTGGGGGAGAACTTCTTATACAATCTGCAGGTAAAAAACAAAAACAAAAGAATTACCGTTCACCATCAAAAGGAGATGGCTGTGAGAAGAGATTTCCATCAGAGATCAATTTACTCTCCCATCCAATACCTTCTCTCGCTCCAAACACAGTGATTGATCACGAGTCTGCGACAAGGGTTGTTTTTGAACAGTTAACTGTCAAACCTAACGTCCTATAATGAGTTCCTAATGATGATCACTTTCATGGTCACTTCAGGAAGCCATCTTGATTGTAGGTTAGGGATGGGAATCTAAGTAAAGTCGCGGTTTTAGGTTCCTTAAATCTTTACAGCGCAAAGAATTAAGTACTCGGATTTTATTGGTGAGCTTGACATCCGAAAGTAACGAAATGGAGTTACCAATATTGTTGTTCTTCAAAACGATTTTATGTTCCCACTGCGAATGAAAAATAAGCAAAACATGTTGTCAATTTTATCTTTGCTTTGTTCCTTTTCTCAAACAGAATGCAGCTTCTGGCTTTTATAGTGAAGGCCACTAAAGATCAGAATCAGAAAAGAGGAATTTTATCCAAGGCAAGGCACATTTGTAAATATCCTTCGTAAGAAGAGCTCATTGTTGTATTACGGAGACGAAGTTATCAAGCAACAACTGTTTCCGACAAAACTATTGAAGTCGAATTGTTGGTGTTTAATTGCCATTAATTTTGTGCATTGAAAACTCGTGAGCACAGTTCTTTTTTAGCCTGCTACCTCCTCATAAATTAGGGTCTCCAAGGGGTTTGGGGAACAAGGGAACGTGATCATTTATTTCAATCATTTATTCCTCTACAATAAAGAGAACTTTGAAAAAAAAATTTAGGGAACAATGGGATATATTAATGGGAAACAAGGGAGAAAAACTGAAATTTTCAAGGGAACATGCAACATGCTACGCCCCTGGGAGGCCCTTGCTTTGTCCTAAAACAGGAGCCCATCATGAGAAGCATACAACTCCCATACTAAGCCTATGTCACGGCATTTTTACAGACCGGTCTATTTTTAGGTTTCTTTTGCTGCGAAATAGGTCAGTTCCGGTCTACATGAGCGTTCATCGGTAAGGAAATTTTATTTTTCTTTTTATTCTTCCGGTGAAATGATGACGTCAATTAAAAATCAAGTCCGTGCTTGTGATTGGTCACCGAGGTTCCTGCGGGGGTTTGAATTCGCGTTCAATTCAAACTTAAAATAGATCAGTCTGTGAAAACGCCGTGACAGGAACATGGGGTAGTTGCACGCTCCTAGTGATCGGCTCCTGCCTAAAACAAATGTTAGGTACTTTGGTATGCCTTTGAAAAAATCGTGCGCACAAGGAGGGGGAGGGGGAGGGGGTGAGGGAGAAAGAACTTTTGTCATCCACATAGGAGTGAAGCTTTTTTGACGAGTGTTGTTAGTTTGTTTCAACAACATGAGTTGTGTCCAAGATTGTAATACAAAAGTGTGAGTTTGTTGTTCGGTTAATACTAGCTGCTTTTTTTATATAAATGTTTGCGCTTTTCTTTCACTCGTCAATTACAGAAACGATCAGCGTAGAGTCATATTTCGTAAATTAGAATTTTCAGTTTGCACTTTTGAACTTTGGCTTTGAGCTTTAGGAATGAAAAAGAGTTTTGAATAAGCCTCAAGAACTTTTAGCTTTAAAGTGCAATTAGTTGTACATCAAAATATCATGTGTAGTTATTAAATACAAGGATGTATTTTTGTTTAAAGCTTTTTAAGGCAATCGATTGCTCAATCTACTCGTAAAATTTCGGAAACTATAATGGAGAGGTTTCGTAAAGTTCCGTGCCACGTTAAGACTCCTTTACGACTAAAGAACCTACATTGTAAATATTTAATTGGAAGATAGATTATTTCTGATATGGTGGAGATTTTTTGCAGCTTACTTAAATGCATTTTGCTCACCACAAAGCTGGAAAAACATTGTTAAGAATAGCGTTAAAATAACAAGCATTTAATAAACGGTATTTTACAACATATATAGCTTCAGCAATGTTGACGATTTTTATTATTTGACAAGGTGTAGTTATAATTAATGTCAAGAGACGATGAAGGATAACAGAGCCAATCCCTCATATAGGTCTTAATCCCGCTCAAGTTATTTTTAGATATGGTACCCAGTTCTCCCACGGACGTTAAATGGATGCTTTCGTGGAGGATTAAAATGCGCGTAACTGAGACAAATCCGTGGCTGAAGAAATGCTGGCGGGGTGGGGTGGGGGAAATCGGTGGGGGTTGGGGGCTGGTAGGGAGAGGTAGCACACAAGCTGTGTCACAAGCTGGCCTCACACCAGTAGCGTATATTATATCTTGGACTGGAAAGGAATTTATTTGTAGGTTTCTCCGTACGCCGTACATTTTGTGGATTTCAATAATGGGACAAAATAGGTTTTCTTACGTAAACAATGCAAAAGGAACGTGAAGTTTTACAGAGAGTAGAAAAAAGGTATAATGGTTTACCTATGTAGTGGCTTTCAGAACAAAATTATTGAAAATAATATTTTTGAAAATTACGGACATTTGTATACGTCGAACTCCCTTGCTGATTTCCCATATGCGACAATAACATGGCGTCCGAAACGAATACAAGGTAGAAAAAGTATACAGTAAAATAAATTCTTACCTTTTTTATGATAACATAAGGCCTGATAAGCTATCGGAGTATGAGCTTATTTGAAATTAGAGAATTGTCGAGGTTCGTTCTGATATCAGAATTATCGGTTTGATTCTGAAACGGAAAAAAAAACTAATTGATCCAGGCCGACATTTTCAATTCGATCAAATTTCAGTGTTATCTCTGAAACTGATATCTGCATAGACATGAAAATGTTCACGAAAATCGATGTTCGTGACCTTTAGAAATTAACTAAAGAAGACCTTTGTACTATTAATACGTATTTAATTTCTTAGAATTGAGATGACATCTATGAGGAACAGCATACAAGTCACGTTACTGAAGTCCTAAATGCGTATAAGATGTCACACAACTCAATCGCAACATCTGCACTGCCTGAGAATACGTTCGCAAAAACATGATTAAAAAATAGATGCTTCAACAAACACTGCAAAATTAGGATGTCAATGTTGCATGCAGGTTTAAATTGTAAAAATGTCAATCAATTTGAGTAGAGCTGCAAATAAGTGCAAAGAGGTTCTGTCGATGGATGGAACAACGTTTAAACCGGTTTTAAACGACTTTATGAGTTTTCAACAATATTTTTACGAATGATTTCCTAAGGAAAACGCACCAAACTTAGTGACCTGAATTCAGTTGAAGCTTGTGTTCATTTTGGATTCCATTTCCATCTTTGTCGTCTTTACAAGCCGTACTACTCTTACAAAATTAAGCAATATTAATGATGGTTTTCCCGTGAATCTTAGTACGTTTTCGGTTAGTTTCATCGTTTTATGCCAATTGCTGAATAAAAAGGAATTTTGAAGCTTACTGAGTCGCATTAGTGTATTCCAAAATAGAAAACTGAGATTCCGTGCGTTTACTAATAATGACCTGAGGAAGTAAATGGTACACAGAATAAACGTCTGACTGTTATTATAGTTGCTTAATTTAAAATTCGCCTTCGCTCTAAATTGGTTCATAAAGAATAATTTCACAGCTAATCAGTCCTTCATCATGGAATTTTACTGTATCATCCATCAGCTAGTATGAGTTCTTTGACAGCACTGATACATCGATCGGCCAGAGAAGGGAGTAAAGAAAATTTCAACTGAAAGGCATATTTCGCCAGCTTGAGATATTAAAATTATTCTTAGATCACTGCATAGAACTAACTGATTAAAACAAACGTGTATTAACGTAACAACGAGGGAACTTGTATTTTTTTCTAAGAAAGTAGAAAAATCTTAGTACATTTAAAAATGTATCAGAAGAAAAATACGAATCAGATATGAAATATTTTCCAGTTGCGAACTGCGTGTCTTCAAAAGGCATTGCTAAATTTAAAAGGAATTAAGATGTGTATTCTGATAAAATGACGATTGACAGGATGAATATAAAGCTGTTTTTATTGCATATCGTGTCCCATGAGTGTATTGGTTTAAAGTTAATTCTAGCTTACTTTCTAAAAATGTGTTAAAATCGATGAATGACGTAATTATGGCGTGTTGTGCTAATCTGTAGTGTTATCAGCAAATAGTGCACGAAAGTCGTCAAACGAAGGGAATTTATATATATTCAGAGAGAATCTCCTTGTTTTAATTTCTGTAGGGTGCAACAAAGTACAATCAAAATGAATCAAAACCAGCTGAAATAATCAGCAGTATTTTTTTTCACTGCGCTACATTGACAAAGATCAACAGTTGTCGACTAAGCGTCGTTTCTAGCTCACGTACATGACCAAATAACAGCATGCGCAAGGAATTATTATTTTTTGGCAACTGTGGACAGGAAGTAGGGAGATTATTAAAAAGTTCAACAAGCTACGAGTCAAGGTCGTAACTGAAAAAACTTCTAAACAGCTGATGTCGTTCTTAGCCTTAAGGAAGATATTGAGCCACGTCCTTTAAGAAAAATCTGATGTACGATCTAGAAATAGTCCGAGTCTTTTTTTTGGCCGCGAAATAACGGGTGTAAATGTCGAAGACTCTCAAGAAATCAATAAAAACAGTAACAAAAACCTACCAACTTTGAAGAAAAATCGATCAACAATTGCAGTGAAAAGTTGTATCTGTTTTATCGTTGTTTCAGGCAACTTTTTCAATTTGGTAGCCAAAGTAAAGCTGGGGAAGATAAATGTTCTGTATTTAGTAAGTGTCGTAAGTAGGAGCTAGGTGATACGGACGTTTTCTCACAAAAGTACGTCAAGATACAAATCGATGTCATGAAAGACTGAATAATATCATTGAAACAGCTGAATCACAGTCAACCTCGTTCGCAGGTTTAAAAGTAATCAGTAAAGTCACGTCCTACAAGAGATGTCTCATCATCACTGCGGATGTTAGCTTAATTAGCCAACCAATCACAACAGGCGTCATTTTAGTCGACTCTCCTCTATCACCATTTAAATAACTAAAGAAGACTGACATGTGTTCAAATATACAAGGATTTCTCATTGTTCAATCATCATACTGAAAGGTGCTAAAGTTCTTTTGGTTCAAGATGAACACCACTAAAGTTTTTGGAAAGTTATGTGCTAGTGTGGTGTCAAACGCAACAAGAGACCTAATTTGTGGACCGGAATTTGTTCTCGGAGCAGATCTTTGCCTGAGCTCAGCTGTGATTATGTTCACAGTTGCTAGTGTGACTATAGTAGGAAACCTTCTTCTGCTGTTGACAATTCGCCGAAATCACCGCCGTCTTTTTCGCACTCCTTCCACTTTCTTGATTGCGAATCTCGGCGTTTCAGACTTGCTCATTGGATTGCTTGTTGGGTACTTTGTCGTTGTGCGAGACACTCATCGTTATATGCAGCAAGAGGTGCCCGACTTCATCCGAGTGGTTATCGAAGTTTTCGAAGCGCTGACATTGTTTATCACTGGTTGCACCATCATCGCATTGTCGGCGGATCGATACATCGCCGTGTCAGACCCGATGGGGTATCGATCGACGGTTACCAAGAAACGAGTAAAGATTTTCATAATGATGGTTTGGATCTCTTCAGTTTTACTGTGTTCTTTACCATTGACTGGTCTTGATAAGAAAATTTACAGTATTGTCTATCTACACACGCATGCGACAGTTCCTATATTATTGCTGACGGCAATCTGCATTAAGATCTTTCGAGCTTTGAAGCTTCATCGACGAGAAATGGAAACGTTGCAGGATTCTCCGATGAACAGAAGGCGAGAAATGGCGAGAGAACGAAAAATGTCTCATACAGTGTACATAATTTTAACCCTGTTTTATTTAACTTTGATTCCAGCTTATATCACGATTCACATTGGATGTTGGTACAAAGGTTCTGATTTATATTTAAGATCAGTTTTTCGGTTGGCCGACTTTTTCTCGACAAGGTTTCTGTTTCTAAACTCGGCGATCGATCCATATGTTTACGCATGGAGGATTCCGAAATATCGTCAAGGTTTCATGAAAATAATTTCTTTCAGGAGGCAACGACCAAAAACAGAAATAACTTGTAGGAGCCACGAGCAAACTTTAAAACAAAGTGCGACAACCACGTTAACCTGTAAAAACTCGTTACAATGCGGGAAAATTGTTGTTGAATGTCATTCAAATTATGGAGAACCTCAAACAACTCACTTCTAAAACAATGGAGGGTTAACAGCGGTTAACATTGTTGATAACAGAATATTGTAAATACTGCTTGTGAGGACATGATGTAATGTTTTATTTAAAGCTTTTAAAGCTATACTCAACCCTTGGAGGACAATGAAAATGTATGTATGTATGTATGTATGACAAGCACGACTGTGTTGTAAAGATTAAAAAGCCACTCACCATGCTTACTGTATCAGTCTGTATGTGAATTATTGGAGAAGCCTGATCGCACGGAGAAAAGGTAAGATATAAAGATTAAAGAAGTGACGCTTGTGCCACTGAAGGTCACGGAAGCCTGACCGAAAACGTTTTAATATTAGGAAAGTTTATTTCCAGTCATCATCCTCTTATGCAGACTTCCTATGGCACGTCACGCAATCTTGGGGAGGAAAAATCGCGTGAACAAACGATTGGGTGAACAGCCAGAGATCCGGACTTCGATGTTTAGAAATTTTAAGCCTTTGAGGATATGTAAAATGAAATAGAGACTTTGAATATAAAGAGATTTTAAGAGCATAAGGCGGGGGGAGGGGGGGAACTTCATTTAGAAGGAGTGCTTAATAGAGAGAGGGATCGTGACGGGGGTCAACCTAAAAACACACCATTTTTTCAAACTTTTTTTGATGGTTTAGATTTAATTCCAAACCATGGCAAAGTATACATTTTTAGAAAGCTTTAATACCAAAGATTATGAATAGAAAAGGCACCGCGAAAACTCCTGCTGTGCTGCGGTCAACTTAAAAAAAAAACGTGACCGGGTGGCTCTAAACTTGAGCCCTCAAATGGTCCCGTGATACTGGTCAGTGGATACCTTGTTTTGACAGGTGTCAACTGACCATAACAATTGAGTGTGGAAAGTAATTAGGCAATTACTTTGGTTTTGGTTTTGGTCTTACTATGGTTTGAGATTTGCTGAGTAGTTTAATTGGTAAGTAATTAGTTACGGCATTCAATTGAAAACCGCTCTATCATATCGTCCAAACAACGTGCGAAACGAGTACAAAATTTTATTTAAAATTGTATATCTATAACAAAATTCTCGATCGTGATTGGTTCCCCGCGTGCCTATTTTAATAACAACAACAGCAACAACAACAATAATAATAATAATAATAATAATAATAATAATAATAATAATAATAATTTTAATAATAATAAAAACGGTTTATTTAACGGTCCACTTAGAGGTTTTTCCCTGTTAGAGTAATTTGAAAAACATTCAAAATATTAAGATCGTGTTCTTGTGAGTTGCTGCAGTTGATAAAACAACATCCAGCGATTGCCAACAACCCGCAAAAACACCAACACGGTGTTCAAACACATCTTACATCTGATTTTTGGGAGCGTTTCCATGGGCTTGAAGTAACACAAAAAAACTACGAAAACGGCCCGATTTCACTCACAACAATCATGTTGTCGTGGAAACATTAAATCACCTGAACATTTCAAATGTTGTCACAAAACGCCAGGAAATTTGTCGCTGTTTCCTTACATATGAACAAAGTCAGCTGCCTCTTTTGCCGAGCTCTCCCTTCCCATTTAACTATATACTAATGAGAGATCACTCAAACACAGTCACTTAAACATCACACATTGAAATCTAATTTTATTTTGTACAAAAAATAAAAAAGACAGGAAATCCAAGCCTTGGATACACTGACACGTAAGCCATTTGTAAAAGTGACTCAAAACCTGATGTTTCCTACGCTTGAGTTGGCCCTAATTGGTCCTAATTCTAAGGTTCCTTGTGAGGAACTGCAGTTTCTTGTAATCAGAGTTCTAGGTTTATCCGTGGCTTAATTATGTTATTACAGAAACAGAGTTTCCAAAGCGCACTACCCTTTGCGTTCCTTAAAAACACAAGCAAACACATGTTGTCAAGAAACCACACAATATATAGTATAATGGCTACTGAAAGAGAGGCCGCTACCCATCGAGTAGCGCTGGTATCCTCTTAACTATGTACGTTTTTTGTGAACCCAGTAATTATAAGTACCCTTCTGTAAATGTTAGATCCGAGGGGTTTCTGGAACCCCTTGGCCAGTTGTAAAGCTCACGTTTCAAATAATTGATTTTATCTATAAAGAGTGACTGTGTGTCACTGAGTGAGTCACCCCCATTTTTTTTTTTTTCATTTCTGAAACAAGTAATTCATCATCTGTCCGCAGCAGAAGTTTGATGAAAATCTATCGAGAAGAACATTTTCGTTAAATTTAAGGTGGCTCAAAACAGTTTTCTTTTTTTCTTTTGAGACTTTTAGGATTAGGTGCCATTTTTCAGGCTTGGAACTGTACTGTTTTGAATGACTGTGCTATCTTTTAAAGGTAACTCTACAGTCCCTTTCATTGTGTTTAAGTCATAAATTAAGTTAACACTGTTCTGTTGCATAGCAACAAACTTGACCCACTTTTTACCATCAATTGTGTCTATCTTAAAAACTATGTCGGTGATCCCATATTTTTTTTTTATGAAAATCGTTTTATCGTTTTAAGAAGAAACAGGGAAAACTGGAAAAAAATTATGTGGAGTAGGTTTTCCTTAAATTAAAAAAAAATTGAAATTCCAAGATTCGAAAAATTCCACTCCACAGTTTTTTTT